TGTCTGAGCCCCCTTGATACTTTGTCATGGAGGTCCTGAAAGTGAAGAACTGAAGAAATGAAGGTTGCTCTCACATTTGAAGACCCTTAGACCAGCATCCAATTAAAAAGCTCACTCCTCTGTTTCCTGACCTCTGACCACAAGAGCCCTGAAGACTCAGTCCTTGCCTGACTACTGTCATCCGCTCTAATGGTAACTTATCAGGTCCTAGCCTCTAAATGCTGCCTACAATTCTACAAAGTTGACTGAAAAATACAGTGAATGTTTAAGTTTTTTAAATTTATTACTATAGGGCTGGGGATTTAGCTCAGTAGTTCTGCAAGCGCGAGGTCCTGAGTTTGATCCCCGGTACCATAAATAAACAAATAAATAAATTTATTATTATAAAAGACACATTGTCATTAATCCCCCTCCCTTAAAATGCACTTATTCTATTGTTCTCACACTTTCTGAGGCTTTTCTGGAGTCCTCTTTCAAAGGATGTATCATTTACTATAATAACGTTTTTTAAAATTTATACATTCACTGTATATATTGATCACACCTTGTATTAAATTCTGCCTTCATCTGTGTAGGCTGCCATAATAAAATACTAGACCATGTGGCTTACCCAATAGACATGTCTTTGGCACTGTCCTGAAGGCTAGCAAGTCCATAATCAAGAGTGCTAGCGGATCGGGTTTCTGGTGAAAGCCCTCTTCTTACCTTCTCACTGTGTCCTCAGTGGCCTCTCCTTAAGGTGTGCACATGGAGAGAGAGGAGAGGGAGAAAAAAGAGGAGAGGCAGAGAGCTCTTCCTCTTCTTATAAGGGCACGAATCCCATTGCGAGGGGCCACCCTCACGGCCCCATCTGACCTTACTCACCTCTGGAAAGCTCTACGTACAAAAACAATCACTTTGGGAATTAGAGCTTCAACATATAAATTCTGAGGGGACACAAACATTCAGTCCACAACCACTTCGAATTTTTTAACTTCTGTGCCTGTTCCTTAAGAACTATGTCCAGTTGCCTCCTGTTCCCTCCTCTTGGACAATGAATTGATAAAACAGCCTCAGCCATGGTCAACACCAAGCAGCTCCGTCCCCTCAAACTTGCTCCTCTCCCCAGTTGTCTCCAACTCTATCAATGGCAACTCTACTTGTTCACTTGCCGGAAAGCTCAGAGTCAGTCCTCTTTGCATGCTCCCTGTCCCCAGAGCATCCTTTGGCTTTGCCATCTCGGGCTATCCGGACTTCAACCACCTTGGGTCAGGCCGCTTTCACACCTTGTCTGGACTCCCACTTCACCCATAGTCAGATCTCAACATGGCCACTGGAGAGGTCCTGTGGAGCAGGTCAGGCCATGTCTCCTCTGTTGAAAGCTCTGTTTGGATCACTTCTGACTCACTCTGAGTCAAGCCGAGGCCTCTTATTACCTTTCACCTCTTGTGCACAGCTTCTGTGAGTCCAGCCCTGGCTCCCAAGCCCCCCATTGCTACCCCTTCCCTGCCTAGACTGCTCTTTCCAGAATATCCATCCACACAGCTACTTCTGCCATTTCCCATAAATATGGATATTTCTCATATTTTTTTCCTCACTTCATCCTGGAATTTTCCAGAATGGATCATTTTCATAGAGCATCCTGGCCACGCTATCCAAAATTGCAGGCCCCAAGCACACTCCCTTCCTACCCCATTTTAGTATTTATTCTGTTGTAGGATTTGCTATCCTCTCAATTACTACAGAGTTTGCTTATATAGTGTATATATTCTGTTTTCCTCTGTGCTAGAATATAAGCTCTCTGAGGTGAAGAATTTTTGAATGCTGTATTCACTGCTGTGCTTTGGGTGCTTAAAATAACAGCTGACACACAGTAGGCACCCAATAGGTATGTAGTTAATGGTTGAGTGAACTTTTTCTTCCCATAGGGGGACAGGAAGTTTAGGAGAAGGTGGATGTGTTAGGTACAGTTATGGCTTCTCCAAAGATGTCCCTGTTCTAATCCCTGAAGCCTGTCACTGTCACCTTCCTTGGTCACAAGAGACTTTGCTGATGGACTGACTTAAGGGTCTTGAGATAGAGATGATCTGGGTGGGCCCAGTGTAACCACAGTTATATTATGAGTTATAAAAGCAAGGCAGGTGAGTCAAAGAGAGAAGAATTGATGTGAGGAAAGAGGCAGAAGTCAGAGTTAAAAGGTGGGAGGGAAGGCTGCTGGGAAAGTAGGAAATTGTCTCTCCTGGAGTTTCCGGTCAAGGCAGCCTTAGTGACCGACACACCTTAGTTTTTTTTGGAGGGGGGTTCCATTAAGTTTATTGGTACATTTTAAGTATACAATACAGTTACATTCATCATTGGGAACTTGTACCTTTACATAATCTATCGTGGTTATTTTTTCCCCATTCCCCTGCCCTCCCTTCAACTCCTCCACCCTTCCCTATTTACAAAGACTTTGTTTCCATTTTTTCCTTTTCTCACATCTTTTCCTTTCCCTTCCCCTCTCACTTCCCCTACTCCTTTGGACCATTTCTTCCTATTTCACATTATCAAGCATACATTTTGATCCTTATTTGCACTTTTAGTTTCTCAAACCAGAGAAACTATTCGGTATTTGTATAAGTACAACATACCTTAAGTTTTAAAACTTCTGGCCTTCAGAACTGTGAGATTACAAATTTGTATTGCTTTAAGCCACTAAGTCTGTGGTGATTTGTGGTTGATTTTCTTTTTTCTCAGTATTGGGGATGAACCCAGGGCCCCACACTGAGCTACAGCCCCACACTTTCTATTTTTTTATTTTGAGGCAGTCTTGCCGAGTTGCCCAGGCTCACCTCAAACTTATGGTCCGCCTGCCTCAGCCTCACAGGTAGCTGGGGTTACAGGTATGGACTGCTGTGTGTGGGGCTAATTTGTGGTAGTTTGTTCCAGCAGCCTGGGGAACTAATGAAATGGGCTCAGGCCTTAGTCAGCAGTGCTGCTGTATTGTCCAAACACCTCTTCCCTGCCTCTCTCTGAAGGAACTCACTGGATTCTGGGGAAATTACAAGTTTGTTTGTGTGTTTGTTTTGGCATCAGGGACTGAACCCGGGTCCTCGTGCTTTCGAGGCAGGCGGCGGAACCACTGAGCCAAAGCCCTGGCCCTATAAGTTGTTTTTTATTCAAAAGTTCAGTTGATTGGTGGAATCTACATGGGGATGGGACATGGAGTAGAATTGGGTACCGGGCATCTGCCTGCTCTGGCTTCTTCCGTCCTGAAGAGAGGCCTGGCTGGGGTCCAACTTCCTCTGAGCCACCTCATGAACAGCATTTGCTTCTTAAAAATGGCCTCCTTTTCCTCACTTCCTTCAGGCCTCTTCTCAGCCCCCTTCTCTGAGCCACCCGCTCCTTCTTCCTGGGCTTCCTCTGATGAATGATGAAGTCCCAGACCCTTTTGAGTTGTCCCTGTGTCCTGTGCATTCTGAAGTCTCAGACCTCATTCAGTGGCTTTTCCCTTTGGTCCAATGACAGAGACCCTAAGGCAGGAGTGGGTTTTGGTCCAGCATTTTTTGGCTTCCTGGGAGACAGGTGAGCTTGCTCCTGATGGGGTGACCAGGAAAGAAGCTGGGACATGTTTTGAGATGTTCAGGTTTTCGAAAGCTAAGACCCTCATTAGGTTCTGTGACCACAGAGGAACAAGAGGTAGAGCCTCTGAAAGGAGAAAAGGGAATGAATTTTGTTTGACCTAAAGGCAAACAGAGGGGCTGGGAGTGGAGCAAAATGGTGAGCACTTGCGTAGAATGTATGAGGCTCTGTGTTCCATCTCCAGCATCACAAAAACAGTTTAAAGATTAAAAATGGAAAGAGGGGCTTGTGGCCTCCCTGACAGCAGGCACCTGCCACTCCTGTGGTCCCCAGCTTCACCCAAGCAGGGGGTAGAAGTCACTGAGCAGACATCCCAACTTGACACTCAGCCAGGACATGGACGTGGCCCCGCAAGGCCTCCCGGTGCCTGGATGTTGCCTGCAAGTCAGGAACTCTGTCCTGAGGGGGTACAGGAGGAGGAGTAAGCAAAGCCCCAAGGCTGCAGTTGAGTTTTCTCCTGTCTGCTGGGATGAGGTTTAGAATAAAGATTAGTTTTAGATGATATTTCTTCCATGCCTGAATTTGGAAACATTTATTTAAATGGGAAACAAATATAGAGTGTTTCCACCATAGGAAATATTCAAAGTCTGTTCATTCCACCAAGAAAAAAAAAATTCAAAGTCACAAGTTAATTACACCATGAAAGTTTCAATGACTATTTCATGAGAACTGAAGAAAAATTTAGGAGTGATCAGCATCAAAGTACATGAAGATGGTCAGTGAGATCATTTTCAGATGATAGGCAGTAGAAAGTTATTTTAATAACCAGATGATAAAAACAGAAATGGGAGATATATAGAGAAAACACAAGGTGTTTCTTTGGAAATGTTTTAAAACAGGAAAGATTGATAATCCCTGTCCAGCGAGGAGCCTGGGGGCTCCACCAGATGCCATTAGAAAATCCTTAATAGGTCTTCTAAATTACACAAAAAGAAACCAAGCTAAATGAGAATAGAAACACAATTCTCAAGTCAGAAAAAGCTTTGGAGGCATAGTAGAGCAGATCAGGAATTTTCCCACTTTAGCTGGTGGAAAAAATGCCCAAAGTGCCAAGGTTCCATATGTAGAAGCATAGTTTCAGAGAAGGTTTTAGATAATTAGCTCAGATTGGTGTAGCTTAATATAAGAAAATCTGAAAAGTATGAAATGGTAGTTTAATCATGGCTAATGATGTTATAATTGCCCATTGATACCCATAAAAGAGAAAGATGTAGGATTATCAGTAGAAAGTCTTCTACAATTATAATGTAATTTTGAATAATACATCCTAATTCTTTTGTCCTTTTGTTCTTTTATCTTTCATCTGTAGGCTATGCTTTGCAGATTGTGGGCATTCAGTCAGTATTAGCAGAATGAATGAAACTTGGAGCGCTATGACCCCCCGGACATATAAACAGCACCTGTCTCTTTTGTCTGGGATAGGGACATCCACCTGTACCTCTTTGCCCACCTGCTTGCTCCTCTGCAGAAGAACTGCAACTCACCCGATCCTCTTGAGAGCAGGTGAAGCCACAGGCCTTGGGGACATCTGCCCTTTCTCCTGGGCTGCTGGTGGGTTACAAAAGATATCTCAAGCACAGGAAGAAACACAGAAGTTCATAAGCAACAGGAGGGAAGAGCAAACCAAAGTACCCTGACATTTTTTCTTAAACAACAAATGGCAAAAAGAAATGTGAAAGTGTGACCACCCGTCTGGGGTGACACGGTGGGCAAGGGGAATTTTTATATGATTTGATGCAAATATAAACACAACCACCCATGAGGACAATTTCTCAAAGTCTGTAAAAATTACAAATACAAAATATTTTGACTCTGTAGTAAGGTTGAAAGGATTTTATAGTTAATACCCTTCCGGTCACCACCAAGACGCTACTCTTTTTTTTATTTCTACTCACTTATTTCGCTTCCTTTGTCACATCTCTGTTTGTTGATGTGTTTTGAGGGTACATGCCATCACTACTCTTTCCCTGAATACTCCTGTAAGTCATAAACCATACAGTTCAAAGTCTGTTTAGTTTCACTTCTTCTAAGGTAATGTTTACATGAAATGCGTGAATCTTAAGTGTATATTTACTAAATTTTAACAAACTCATCTGTGAGACCCAAACTTCTAGCAAGGTAACGTAGCTTGCCATTGTTCCAGAACATTCTCTCAGATATCCTTTCAACAAATCCCCACACTGGCCTTTCACACCAATCTCTGGTCTGTTTTTTTCTCTGTGTTTCATTCACCCAGTGTAAAAATTTATACAAATAGAAAAGAACAATACTTAATATTTATGTACAAAGTTCCTTTCCTTCAGCAAACTGACTTTGAGATTCATGCATTCTGTTCCACGTGTAAGAAAGTCCATTCCTTTTTATTGTTGAGCAGCAAGCCCATCGTGTATGAACTCACAAGAGCTTGTTTCTCCAAACTCCTGGGGACAGACACTTGTTTTCCTTGTCTCCTGGTTTTCAGATTTATAAATATAGCCGTGATGAACATTTTTGTACATGTCTTTTTGTGGACATGCTTTCATTTTTCTTGGGTAAATACACAGGAGTGGAATTACTTGGTTTTCATGTTTAACTTTATAAAACAACAACAACAACAACAAAACAACAACAACAAAATCCCAGAACATTTCCCGAAGTGATCATGCCATTTTACATTCTCACCAGAAATATATGAGCTTCAGTTTCTCCACATCCTCATGTAATTTAATTTCAGCATTTCTAGCAGGTATACGGTGGCCTCTCATGTGGCTTTAATTTGTCTTTCCCTGCTCAATAATGAGCTCTTTAATCACTCCCTGTTCATGTGACTTCTTTATAAAGTGTCTCTTCCAACTTTTTAATTACTACTATATTTTTAAAAATTTTTATTATCCTATGTGATGGGGTAATCCTGAAGGATTGCTGAAATAAATGAATATCCATTCCATTTTAAGAATTTCCAAGAAAGGAAAAGTTTATCTCATTATTGCTTTTGGATATTGCATAATTTCTGTAAGAATGAACTTGACTGACTCCAAATTACTGTCACTTCAGCCTATTTCTCTTGGTCACTCCTTATTTCAGTTACTGAGTTAAAACAGAAATATTAAAGCATAATTTATTATTGGGCATTGCACGCTTATTTAGGTTGCCTTTGAATGTATGATAGGAATATCAATTTGCTAAAGGGAAGAAATTGTTTCATAAATGATATGCTCTCATCTCTTTTCCCTTAGTATTCTCAGTCTGTCTGAAAAGGATAAAAAGGAGTAATTGAAGCAAATTCTACCAGCTTATTGCTGTATTTGCCCACCTTTAAACCCTTTCACTAATGAGCTGAAAACCAGAGTTCCTTTTTCTGGCAAAAGCAACATCCCACTGCTTAGAAAAAAAACAGTAAGGCCAGATGTGGTGGTATAATACAATCCCAGCACTCAGGAGGCTGAAGCAGGAGGATTGTGTGAGTCTGAGGCCAATCTGGGGCTACACGGTGAGTTCAAGGCCAGCCTGCAGTATATAGGGAGACCCTGTCTCAAAAAAGAGGGAAAAACTGTGGTTTGATTTATGACTCAATTTCTTCTCTAGGTTTAAAAGTTATATTTACTTATTTATTTATTTATTTTTTTACCTGGGATCGAACTCACGTCCTTGCGCTTGTGAGGCAGGCGGTAGAAACACTGAGCTAAATCCTGGCCCTAAAAGTTGTGTTTAAACAGAATCCATCCCGTACAGGGGGGTTGAAGATGCTGCTGAAACTCTTTTTATCAAAACAAATAGAAATGAAAACAAAATCCGGGGCTGGTGGCTATGTAGGGGTCAGGAAGACTGGCTGCCAAGTGGAGCTGAGGGACACTAACAGAAAAGAGGGTGAAGCCTGGCGGTACAGGTGCTCCAGGGAACAGCTGCCTTCCTCCTGTGTGGGTAGGGGCTGGAGGACTTTTAACTTGGGCTTTGATTCCGCCACAGGCATCCTCAGCAATAATTACTGGGAGAAAAGAGAACATACGGAACATTTGTCTTTGTGTTTTGCCCAAGGAAAACTGTCATCTTGATTATGGACATAGTATTTGTATCTCTCATCCATCCATCTATCTATCCATCTATCTATCTATCTATCTATCTGGCATCTATCTACCTATTATTTACAGTATACATGTATTACACTTGATCTTAGCCAAAAGGCTGAGAAGCGATTACAATATACATGTATTTTCCCATTGAGATTCGTATTTCAACTCTCCATGTGCTTTTTTTGATGATTTTAAATTGTGGTGAAAGTTATATAATATAAAGTGCACCACCTTACCATTTTTAAGCGTACAGTTCAGCAGTATTAAGCACATTCACGTTATGACAAAATGAAGCTCCAGAAACTTTATTTTGCAGAACTAAAACTCTACAACATTGAATACTCTCCAGTACCCACCTCCAGCTAGCTAGTAATCACCATTTTGCTTTGTTTCCCTGAATTTGACTATTTTAGATACCTCATACAAGTGGAATCCCACAGGGTTTATCTTTTTGTGTCTGGTTTATTTCACTCAGCATGTCTTCCAGGTTCATCCACGTTATAGCATGAGTCAGATTTTCCTTCTTTTGCAAGGGCTGAATAATATTTGTTTGCCTGTTCGTACGTCACTGGATACTTGCATCGTTTTCACCTCTTGTGAATAATGTAGTAATGACTGGGGGTGTGCAAATACACCTTAAAGATCCTGCTTTCAAGTTTTTGGATGTGTCCCCAGAAGTGGGATTCCTGGGTCATACAGCAGTTCTATTTTTAATTTTTTGAGAAACCACTTAAAAAGTCTATAAGTAATGCAGAAGGGTTCCACTTTCTATCTTAGTGAACACGTATTTTCTGTTTCTTTTTCAAACTTGGCCATCTTAGTGGGTGTGAGGTACTCAATATATGGAAATTTTTTTGTTAATTTAATTGACACATACAAGTATATGTATTTACAGGATGCCATGTGATGTGTATATATAATAAAAAACCAAAGTGAATGTTTTACATTTTTAAACAATTACAGTAAAAGACACATTACCGTTAATCCCCTGCAAAATATTTCCCCTCACTTCAAACACACTTACCTCACCATCCTTGCCATTTTCTGAAGCAGTTCTGGAAGTCATCTTCTGTGTGTGTCTTTAGTTGCATAGTCATGGCTGCCTCGATGTCCTGAACCGATTCAAAAGGTTGACCTTGCGTGGCCATTTTGACTTTGGGGAAGAGTGGGAAGTCACACCACACCAGATCCAGTGCGTCAGGTGGATGAGGACACAGCGTCATGTTTTCTCAAGCCTGCCTTCCTGCTGGATGGCGCTTGACAGCAGTATTCACCATATTTTTAAAAAAATCACACTCCATAAAGATACTCACAAAAGAGGATTTGCAGAAATGCTTCAGAAAGTGGTAAAAATGATGGGATAAGTCTGTTCAAAATGAGGGGGAGTATTTTGAGAGGGATTCACAGAGCTATATGCTATTGTAATACTATATATATATACTATATACTATATATATGCAGTTATATATATGCATATATATATAGTCCTTGCACTTGTGAAGCAGGTGCCAGAACCACTGAGCTAAATCCCCGGCCCCATTCAGTGTATATTTTGATTACATGTGTGTGTGTTTGTGTTTGTGTGGTACTGGGGATTGAACTCAGAACCCTGAACTTGTGAGGCAGGCATGGTACCACTGAGCTAGATCCCTGCTGAGCTAAATCCCCATCCCTGACCACATCATTTATACATATATATATGTATACACACACACACACACACACACACATATGAATATTTCAATCTGGTGAGTATATCTATCTTCTCAAATTTTTCTCATTTCTCTGTGGCAGGAACTTCCCAAGCCTTTCTTTAGCTTCCGCTAAAATGTCAGGGACATTATCATGACCTATAGTCTCTCCACTGGGCGGCCCCACCCCAGAATGTAGGTCCCACTGTAAGTGACTGGCACCCGCTGAGCAACCTTCCCCACACCTCCTCCTCCCTCCATTCCCCAGCCTCTGCATCCCACTCTTCAGTTGTCAGCCTCTATGAGATCAATTTTGTTTAAATTCCACATGAGTGAGGTCATGCAGAATTTGTCAGAAAGCCAGAAAGGCAACCCTTTTTGAACAATGAAAATACTTCAAGTCACCATGCACTATGATGTACCTTTCCTGGTGTGTTATTCCATTCTCTGACAATCAAAAGCGAGATAACAGGCCAGCTTCAAAATGACTGCAGCCTGTGACCTTCTGGTTTCCTCCTAAATTTCTCATTTTCAAAGTTAAATTGGGGGGGGCAGACCCCAAAGGCCTTGCTTTTTATCTTATTGTATTTCCTATCCTAAAAGAAGTATTTTTTTAAAATATATTTCTCCAGCTGTGCTAGATTTCTGAATACTGAGGTACAACAAGACAGGATGTTTGAGAGGTTGGCCTCTGGGTCATCTAGCTGAGTGTGAATCTCCTCCTCTGCCATTTATCAACTGTGTGACCTTGGGTAAATCACTCAGCCACTCTGTGCCTGTTTCTTCCTCTGTAAAATAGGGGTAATAATGCAATTCCTACTTCATAGAGAGATTTCTGTTAAATGAGTTCATATTAACTAAAGTAATGACAGCTTGATGTGTTTCAGCTGTTGTTATAAACAGAAAAGAAGAAACTAGAAAGGGTTGAGGTTGACAGTTAAAATTTCGAGGCAATTTTAATCAAATATTGTAATAGAGTTATTTTAAGCACTTTACACTCAAATTCATTTGGAAAAACAAAGCAATAAGACTAGTCAAGAAAACTTTTGAAGCTGGGTGTGGTGGTGCACGCCTATAATCTCAGCACTCGGGAGGCTGCCTGTGCTACATTGTGAGTTCCAGGTCGGTCTCAACTAAATAGTGAGACCCTGTCTGAAAAAACAAACAAAAAAACAAAACAAAACAAAAAAAACCAACAAAAAAGAAAAGGTAAACTTTTGAATAGAATATGTGGGACAAACTATGGGATAGTAAAATATATTACGAAGTTATAAACAAACAGCATGGCATTGGGTCAGGGACAGACAGGGCAGTGAAAACAATATGACTCTGTGACCGAGCTGCCATATGAGAGAAGCACATAGCCATTTGGGAAAAAAGAACAGTTGGATCCATGTCTTATTTCTTATGCCAATATAAATACCAGATCGATCAATGATAAAATATAAAATAAAACTGTTAAAGTGTGATATGTTGTTTTTTTTTAGAAGTCTTGAATGGGGAAGACTTTTTCCAATGACAACATGAGAAGAAAAATCCACTGAAAAATGTGAGACTAGGAAATTGAGAAGTTGCTACGTAAAAAGTACCACAGACAAAATAAAAAGCAAAAAAGATGTTCGCCACAGGATTTCAAAGGCTGATTTCCTCAACAACGAAAAGATACTGTGAATCAGCAATAAAGAGGTATTTTCTTTAAAAAAATGGCAAAATGCGCAAAGGATCTGAAAGGCAGTTCATGGGAAAGAAAAACTGACGGACGGTGACAAAATGTCTGAGCACCTGTTTTCCCGCAAGAATGACAAGTATTGCAGCGGCCAGAGAGCTGGAGATCTGCGCCTGTCAGGTCAGGTGGTGTCTACTGCCATGCGGCCAACACTGGAAGTCAGGTTCTCAAACCCCGCTGGTCAGGTTCTTGATCATCCATCCCTTCCAGCAAGCTGTGCAAAGAGGATGGGCATCAAATCCCAGCTCTTCTCAGATTTTGTCTATCGGGAATGTGGAGGGGCACCCTCGATGCTTCTCCACCCTGAGCTGCGGTGCGGCTGGTACAACCCGAAGGGGGGTGAACAGAAGGGCTGGGGACGCTGACAATGGGCGCTGACTTGGGAGAACCCGCTCCCCAGGGACTTCTTCTGCATACCCTGGCACATGGCTGGAATGACAGAAGGACAGCTCCTCAGCTGAGCTTCTTGTGTGTGGTGGCTCTGGAGAGCCGGGCCTTCTCCCGGGAGCAGCCTCCTAGAGTAGTCTGTGCTGAGAGGGAGCTGGGAGCTGTGTGGCTTTTCCTGACTCCGCTGTGAACAACACACAGCATCTCTTCATCGGGGCGTGAGCCTGTCTAGACTCAAAGGGCACAGGCACGGACCCACCTCTCAGGGGAAGGAGTGGCCAGTAATTTGTGGCCATGTTCAAAACCTCTGCAGGGCAAGGGGAGGTCACTGCAGGGTCCTTGGAAGGTAATTTCGCAATCTCTACCCAAACTTAATGGGCAACCAAAGGTGTCCCTGTGGACATTTCCTTGAGCCCTATTTTCTACCCACGCCTCCAAACCCCTGCTCTTCTCAAGCTTATCCCCTCTGGGTTCCGTTAGGGCCGTAGCCTTTCCTCCCCTTCCAGGTCTGGAATGCTCTTTGCAGAAGAGTTAAAGTCTCATCCAGGATGCCATTTAGAAGTCAAATGCAGGCCAATTGCTTTCTCCACAGCCTGGTTTCTGCTGGTTCCCTTAGAGCAGCTACCACGAGACTGGGCTGACTCTGGCATCAGAGGCAGCAGGGATCCGGCACGGGGCTGCTGAAATTCGACCCAGTTCAAAATCCTAAGATTTCTCCCTGATTATAAGGTGTGGCCAAAATATACAGAGAATGTTTAAGTTTTTTTTTAATCACTACAGTAAAAGACACACTGACATGAACGAATCCCCCTGCTCCACACTGCCCCTTGCTTTGAAGCCATTCATCTCATCTTTCTCTGGCCACTTTCCCAGGCAGTTCTGGAGGTCCTTTCACGTCTCTATAAGGTGCGGCAAAAGAGAGTGAATCCTGCTGTTGAGTGCCACCCACTGTAAGGCACCTACTGTGTGATTTCTAGCTCTTTGCCAAAATCAAAATCACCACAAAAGGTAAATGTCTTGTTCATTCAGGATATCAAGGCCACCGCAACAGTGAACTAAAGACACTTGCCAAAGACGACCTCTGGAACTGCCTCACAAAGTGGCACGAATGACAGCATACGTCTTTGAAGTGAGGGCGAGTATTCTGAGGGGGATTCGTGGCGTCTTTTACTGTAATACATTTTTGAAAACAAATTTAAACATTCACTGTAGTTTTCCACTGAACTTCATCTACAAGAAGATAGTCTTTCAGTTGCCATGATGTTGATCCTGTTCTTCTAACACACTTCTTTCTACCGCACTATGCTGTGTTAGATGTCTACTGCGGCAAAGCAAGCCACTGCAAAACAGTGGTTTACAGAGCCTGGTTTTATATTGGGGAGGGGTACCAGGAATCAAACTCAGGACCTTGCATTTGCTAGGCGGGCGAGGTGCTGTGCTGAGCTAAATCTCCATCCCAAATATAGTGGTTTAGACCAACATTTCTCATCTTTATTTTATGAAAAATAAAACAAAATTTTACAACAAATAAGAGAATAACAATAGTACAATATTATCCTAATCTTAAAAGTAGTCAGAGTATAAGACATAGACAAAAAAAAAATACTCTTGCAATGAAGCAATAGATAACAGCACAAAACTTTCTTTTCAATGTACTAAGAGAAACTGGTAGTATAAATTAGCATACATATTCATTGAGCCAGCTATCCCCCTTCTAGGTATCTTCCCATCAGAGTACAGGGTTACATGTACACCCATGGTTACAGCTGCACAATCTATAACAGCTAGATCTTGGAAAGAGCCTATATGACCATCGGCAGATGAGCACACACAGAAAATGTGGGGTTTTACATGACGGAGTACTACTCTGCAACACTTCTAATCTTGGCCTCCTTCCATAGGTTGAGACTCTAGGCATTGCTGAGCTGGGTCCCCTGGCTCTGGTCTCTCATGACGTTGCGATCATTTCAAGGCTTGGGCAGAAGGACCTCTTACTGGCTCACTCATGTGACCGAGGCAGGGTTCAGTGCCTCAGGGCTGTTGGACCAGGGGCTTTACTTTCTCACAAGCTGTGCCTCAACCTGGCAGCTGGATTCATCAAGGCAAGCCAGAGGGAGGGTAAGGGGGTATCCAGGAGTCACTTGTTTTGTAATCTAATCATGGTCTTGCCCTTACCTCACCTTTCCAGGGGCTCACACAGATGTGAGCAATAGGAGCACAGCAGAGCGGCCCATCACAGCTGCTCAGGGCT